GATTTCGAATATTTTAGAAACAATATTTTTTTACCCATAAAATTTAGATCATACACAATTTTATATATTTGTATCGCTATATTTATAGAGTTATTATATATATATATATAGAGACAAATATACACTCATATTTATATTGTGCCATATAACCACTGAAAATATGAACAATTTGTTCAGATGTTCGAAACATAATATTTATTTTCTAAATTTCTATTCAATAGCCTTGACATGGTAATTTTTAATTTAAATAAAAAATAAAATAAATTTTTAATAAAATTTTTTTTTAAAATTATTTTGTATACGTTTGTAATATTATATATGTGGCGATTGAAATTCGCCTAATAATATGCTTTAAATTTTAATTATTTTTTGTCTATTATTGAATAAATTTTAAAAATTAAGTTATAATTATCAAAGAATACATGGCTTGATAAGCATGTTTTTAGAAATATGGCAAGAAATTTTAATTTTAAATTAGGAAGAGTTTAAAAATTGGAATTTTATTACTACCTTTATGAGTACAACGAACAATCTTTCTCTAATTTATTCTTATAAAATTTCCGTGATTTTTTTTCAGAAAAATTTAATTTTAATTTAGTTTCCGAAAGAAGAAACATCTTCCAATATCTTGATTGATAGTCAATTGCGAAGCTTTTTATTCAAGATTGCTTCATTTTTTTGTAAATTTCTCTGCAGAAATGAGACTCTATTTTAAGTTTATTTAGATACAAAACAAATTTTTAGTAGCTTTATATGACGCCTTTGAGTATTAAGCAAAAAAGATTTAAAATATGAAACATATACATGTACACATAAGACAATTGCAATATTTTGGCATTATTTGCAATTTTTTATGAAAAAAAATTTTTATTTGCGTTCATCATAATTATTGTTCTTAATTTTTATGTACTTCATATAATATGACTTTGACAGTTTCGAAATTTGGTTATTATTTCTATACGTATATCACCTCTACCGCATCAGTTAATTTATTACCTGGAATAATAATGAAACTTATATAACTGTAATAATCAACCATTCCGTCTTGAAAACTACCACTATTTAGTTAATTATGGCCGCTATATTTATAAATATTTAAGTCAATTTCACTGTAAACCATTCAAAAATTTCAGTGACAAAACGTCTTTTCTTTCAGGTTTTAGATATTTGTAGAGACAAAATTCTCTGGGTTTTCAATTCTTTCTGGAGTAATATAAGATCATTATTTGGGAAGAGCAAATACATTTTACATTATTGTGCTAAAAATTTTCAACTCTTTACTAATTGTCATGTCCAGATGACTTTCAACTCCTTACTAATTGTCATGACCAGATGATTCTCACATATAAATTATATAAACCAGATCAAACTCACATACAAATTATAATAGCCCAATACACACTCTTTTACGATGGACTTCTCAAATATCTTTACATACATATGTATATACGTTTGTAGTATATGAAAAACTTATAATATTTGTTCTTTTCTAATATTATAAGCTTTTAATTATGAAAATTAATTAAGAATATCAAAATATTTTTGAATTTTTGAAAAATTAAATGAATTTAAATTAAAAATTTTAAATTTGAAAATTTGAAAAAAAAAAAAAAAAAACAAAGGAAACTGAAAAATAAAAACTTAAAAATAAAAAATAAAAACAGAAAAGAATTTTTTTTGTTTAATAATATTTTTTTTTGTTTTTTAATAAATATTTTTAAAATTTTCTTTTTACAATTTTCCTTAATTATTTAAAGATTAAAATTCTTTGTAAATATTTTTGTTTAACATTTTTTTTTCATATTTTTTTTACAATTTTTTTTTCTTAGTTTTTTTTTTTTGTTTATTGTTCTTTTTTGCCTTAAAACTAAAAATATTTATAATTTTAGAATGACTATTTATGTTTTTTTTTTATGTACTTTGTATATATATGTATATACATATATGTTTGATAAGAATACAATAATTATGAAATAAAAAATGAAAATAATAATTAATTACAAAAAATATTTTCGAATGGAAATTCGGTACACAGAATTTGCAGCTCTTGTGAGAGTTTTCTAACTCTTATGTGGCTAACCACTGAATTTATAGAGAATTTAGCATAATTATATCAAACGAATTGCTTAGGCCAAGCGTTATTTGCCATGAAAACTAATATTGTAGGAAAGAACCAAAACAATGATCAATGAGACTCACAAATGAGCGACTATCAGATTAAATGATAAGAGAAAAAAGAAATTTTGCAATTACAAAAATTTCAAATTAATTGGAAAAATTAATTGTAGAATAGTTATTGCACAAAGAAAATAAGAAATTTTTTTCACTATTATGTTATGATGTTATTTTTTTTAATTTTTCTGCAATTGCCTTTGAGTAATAACTCAAATAAACCAATTAATATAAGTTTGCCCGGAATATAAATGAGCTAAAACTGTCACAAATGCGTAATTGTTAAGTCTTATAAGGCTTACATATAAGAATTTTGCAATTCTACTTAATTTTGTAGAATGTTAGTAAGAGAACATTCACCAGTGCCAAATCTGGATTTTTTTTTTTGCTGTTTCAGGCCATTCCATTTTCCACATTATGAACACAAATGTATACCAATATAATTATTATTATTCTCATTTAAATTTCAATTTCTTCAAATTTCCAATATTCCCCAAAATAAAATTTTATTTTAGGATCCTTAATTGGCTTGTGTGTAAATATTTTACTAACATTATTTATATTTTCTTATTTATTTTTTCACAATCAGTACATACATATATCTATATAATAAAAATTTTAATAACACAAAAAAAAATAAAAACAATTTTTTTTTTTTATACAAATTTAATTATTGAATTAATTAAAATAAACTATTGTTTTTAATTAAATAATATTTTTGTGAATTTTCTTAAGTAAATTTTGAATTAATTAAAAAATACATACACATTGAATAATATAATTTAGTAAATAATTATTTAAAATTAAAAAAAAAAATATTTACAAAAATTCTTGTTTTTTTTTTATAATTATTTTATACAAAGAATAAATAATTTTTTCAATTAAAAAAAATTTTTTTTTAATTTTTAATTAAAAGAAAATATAATTATGAATTTAATTATTTCTTAATATTTTTTCAAAAAAATTTAATTTTATTAAAAATAATAAAAAAATAAAAAAATACTTAAATTTTAACATCACTGGATTTTCATTATGTCTTTTATTTTTTTTTATTTCTCTTTTTTATTAATTTTGATTCAAATTTATAATATTTATAATAATATTTTCAAAGTTAATTAAATTTTAATCACTTAAAATATTATTATTAGCCTGCAAAAATACTTCCTAATGTAAGAGTGAACTCAATTATACTGAATTAAAATGAAAGAGATTTTAGATATACTTTTAAATTTGCAATTCAAAATACGGTACAATAATTTACCAAACTATTATTATTATTATTCAGTAGCATAGAAATATTAAGAAGCTTTCACAAATTAAAAGTGTTGTGAAATAAAAATTTTCTCAAATTAATATTAAAAAAAAACGTACATATTATTACTTTTATTACAGTAAATTAATATAGGAGAGACAACAGTAGCAAGAGATGAGAGTAATAATAATAATTTAATTGCTATTAAAATTGCGCTCCCAAAATATTTAAATCTCATAATATAATGATAGCAAATTAATATTTTGTAATGGTATTGCGGTTAATTTGTATTTCATAATATCAATACATGAGATTTAATATTATGTCAGGCGAGTAGCTTTTGAATTAATTAAAAAAAATTCTCAGAGTAACAATAATATTATACTACCTACTAGTTGTAGGTATATAAAATAAATAAATTTGTATTGAGATTTTAAAGAAATTTTATAAGGAAAATAAAATATTAAGGTGTTGAAATAAGCAAATATTTTTATATCTTTGAAATTCATTAATTATTATTATAAATTTTTGAAAAATGTGTAAATTTGCAGGCTAAATAATTTGTTGATGTTAATTTTTTTTTTAATTTAACCAAATTTTAAAAAATATTTTTTTTAATTTTTCTTGAAAATATTCAAATTTAAATTTTTATAAGATTTTCTTCATATCAGTGTTTTAAATATTATATATGCATGTTATGTGTAAATGTATATATGTATGTGTATATAATATAATTAAGTTTATCAATTTTTAAATTTATTTTATACATTAATTTGACAATTTTTTTTTTTTTTTTTTGCTATTTTTCATTTTTTTTTATAAATTTAACATTCTAAAATTTTTTTTTAATAATTATTTACAAAGTTTTATTCTTTTGCTGTTTTTTTTTTCTTATTTTGAACAAAATGAAATATTTTTTAAATTAATTATACTTATAGGAAATTTTACAGAATTAACCTTTATGTACACTCGTTTTATTATTTTTTTTTTTGTTCTTGCAAAATTTTTACTTTGCAGAATTTTAATCAGAAAAAAATATTTGAAATTTCTTTAATATTGAAATGGAAATAATTTATAAAATATTATATTATTTTCGAGTTTTATTTTGTAAAACTAACGTTAAGTTAGTTTTCGAAATAAATAAAATTGTTGTTTTTTTTATGATTTTCGAATAATATACAATTTCGAAATAAGTTATTTTCGAATTCGAAATTAATTAAAAATAATTCTAGATATTTTGTTAACCTTTACAACTATGTATGTATGTATGAATTTTTTGTTTATTTTTTTCATCATATTTTATAGAAATTATTTTTATTTGATTATATTTAATTTATTACAATATTTTACAAATTATTTATTAAGTAGTATATAAATATATACATTAATATCTATGACATGTATTTATATATATATATATATATATATATATATATAATATTATATAATTAAAAGATTTCGAAAAATTTTAATTATTTTGTTTTCGAATATTAATTAGTTCTTTGTCATTTTATTTAATTTATTTTACTCTTTCTGTAATAGGCGTTCATAATTTTTGTTATATTTTTATTCGAATTCGAAGTTCTAAGTTATAAAAGACATAGTATATAATTTCTTTACTATATTATGAATGTGTATTATTTATAATATTGAATTATAATGTATGTTTGAATATTTTAATTGGTAATTTATGTAGATTTTCGAAATTTCGGAATTATCATATAATTTTTCGAAAATATAATAATATACTCTCTTGAGTATATAAATTATTTTAATTGTGCAGTTTATTTTGAATGGCAGTTGGTATATATTTTTGTATGTAATTAGTTCTTTTGGTATTATATAACGTATTTGTAATTCCTATGGTTGTTTTATTGTTATTCAATATTATTCGAAATTTATATTTGGCGAATTACAGTAATCATATAATTATAAATTTGATTTTTTGTTTTATTATTAGGTTTCACTATGTATTGCTTTAAGAGAAGGATTTTCGAAACTTCGAAAATAACACCATTTCTAACATTAAGTTTTTATTAATTTCTAAATATGTGTGTTGTTTAAGTAATAAATTATATAAAAACATAAATTTGTTTTTGCAGTTTTTTTTTTTTATTATTAATTCTGTTTTAATTGTTCTGGGTACATTTACATTTGATCCGTTATAAATTTCGTATATAAAACATCCTAAATTGGTATGTCCTTTTTTTTTGTATTCTTTTTTTAAAAAATGATTTCATGTAGTTCTTTTGAATTTTTCTATTTTTTTTTTAATCGTCGTCATTTTCCTTTTCTGTAAGTCCTTAAATTTTCTTCTTTGTTGTTTTGTCTGAGATAAAGGAAATATTGATTTTTTTTAGTGTTATTTTTTATAGTTTTTTTTTTTGTTTTTTTAATTTTTTTTTTTATTTTACTTTAATTAATTCCTAACCTAATTCAAATCAATGGTAATGCCTTTGATTAATTGCTCTACGGCCAGTCGTACTATTACCATTTGGTAATGCACCATTTCTCATTGGTAATGCTGGTGGTGGTGGTGTTGGTGTTGGTGTTGGTGGTGGTAAATCATGATCTAATGGTAATGAATAATGACTGTTATTATGTATATAATTAGCATTAATACTACCATTATCATCATCGGAATGATGATGGCTAACACCATTTATTAAACCAATATTATTGTTACCATTACCAATATGATCATTTAATATATAACCATTTTTATGGCCTAAAGTATGGGCATGATGTTTTTGATTATAGGAATTATTAAAATTATTATTGACCCTATGAAATTGTTGATGACGATCAACAGTACCACCATTTGGTAAACAACCATTTTGTTGCTGTTGTTGTGTTGTAATTGATGTTGTTGTTATATTATTATTAATTTTATTAATTAAATTACCATTCATTGTATTATTATTACCATTAACAGATGCCATTATTGGTTGACTATAATGATTTTGATTTGTTTCAATTTGTGTTTGTGACTTCTGTTGATTATGAATTGGTTTTATTGGTTGTTGTTGCATCATTAAATGATCTTGACTTAATTGTACAAATGTCGGTGAACTATCACGACTAATACCATTAAGTGTTGCAGCACCATTTATATGATTTATGGTGGCTGTGGAGGTTGGTACTTGAAGTTGTTGTAGGGTCGAGGCACCACTCCTCCTTAATGGATGGAGTGGTGGAGCCTCTAGCTATAGTTCCGTTACTGGTATTGGTCTATGGCCTGGATAAGCTGGATGTGGATTATAATTATTTGTAAATGTTGGATGAATACCTAAACCACTTAAACCACATGGATGTGGATGACGTGACATATAATCTTCATCAGAGAAAGTTTTTTGATATTCACGTTCTTTACGACCAAGAGCTGAATTACCCCAACCGCCTTTTAAAAATTCACGTATCTTTCGGCGGCAACGATATAATATTAGTACAAGTGCTGTTACTGATGCTGCTGAACCAACAATTAAAGCACCAATCATTGCTTGTTTTCGATGATCAGTACGTGCACAACCCAAAAGGCCCGGTGATAAATTACGTAATGATTCTTCTTGTAAATGTTTTGGATATCCACATAAAACATTTGCAATATTTTCATTTGCATCTTGACTAAAATTTTTAACAACTAATAAATTTCTAAGCCATAATACACGACAATCGCATATTATAGGATTCTCTGATAAATCTAATGTTTTTAAATCAACCCATGGGAATAAACCTTCGGCAAGTGTTTGCAAATTATTATCTCTTAATATAACATGTTTTAAATGTGGTAAACCGCTAAGTGCACCCTCTTGCACTTCATTCAATTCCTTATTTGATGATAAATTTAACCATTCTAAATTTGCATTTGTTGTAAATGCACCAGTATTAACACGTTTTAAACGTCCAGCTCCAGTTATTTCTAATTTTTTTAAATTTGTTAAACCAATAAATGCACCTTCTGGTATTATTTCAAAATCATTTTGACCAAGTGATAATTCTTCAAGACGTGTCATTTTACTTAATTCTGTTGTTGGTATTCGTTGTAATCGATTATCTGATAAATCTAATATTCTAACACCATCTAAACCTTTAAATGATTCATTTGATATGTTATGTAAACCAGCACCTTTTAAATCTAATTTAATTAAACCTTTCATATCATTAAATGCATTCTTTTGTATTGTTGTAAATGAATTTGTACCCAAATATAATTCGGCTAACATTGGCATCGCTACAAATGATAAACTTGGAACTGTTGTTAATGTATTATCATCTAAATATAATATCCTTAAATTAATTAAACCATCAAATGCTTTCGGATCAATTTTACTTATTCTATTTTGTCCTAAATTTAATTCTTCTAATTTTGTTAGCTGTACAAATGTACCAGCGCTTAATTCATCTAATAAATTAGCACGTAAATTTAATACAGTTAAAGATTGTAAACCAATTAAGATTTTATCATTTATTGAACCAATTCGATTATGATTTAAATGTAATTCTTGTAATTTCTTTTGATAAGCAAATGTTTTTGGTGGTATACTAATTAAATGATTATATGATAAATCTAAAAATGCTAATTCAGCATAAAATTGTATTGATGAATCAATTATTTTTATTTTATTATTTTTAATAACTAATCTTTGGATTGATGGATTTAATGCAATCGGTAAAACATCTAAATGACCTTCACCGCATTTTACAACTAATGTTTCATCATCACATTTACATCCGTATGGGCAATTAGCTAAACCATTTGCTGAATTTATTAATATTGTTAATAAAATAATAAATAAAATGCTGAATTCTTTTAAAATTTGAAGATTTTTTGTAAGGTTTAACGTTCTTTTGTTCAACATTTTGTGATCTTTTATTTTGCAGTTCTGGTAATAGTAAAAGAATTTTGAAAAGATTCCGTGTTTTTTCTTGATTTATTTATACGTAGAGAAATTGATGCACAGCGTTTAAGATTGAGAAGATTTCCTGAAATGAGAGAAAAACACAAATTATTGTTATGTTTTTTATTTAAATTAAAAAACAAATATTATTTTTTCTTAACGTAGTTTAATTTGTTTCAATAAAAGAAGAGATGAGATTGAGTAAAAAATTTGTACAAACTCAATTTCACATTTGAATTTATTTCTCTTTTAATTCCTTAATAAAATTAATATTAGAGTTACACAAGTTTTCCAGTTCAGCGCATATTAAAAACATTCCATTCCAAATTTTTAAAATTAAATCCAAGCTCAAAAGCAGGAGCTCACATTACACTCTCCCAATTAGTTTTCGATTATGAATTTTGAGTTTGTTTCTCCCATATAAGCATTAATTGAATACTGTGCCAATTGATGGTAGGAGCACCAACAATTTCGTTTCGAGCTTCAGAAAACTCACTTGATTAAAACATTTGACAAAAAATCTACGGGGACGAACAATTTATGTAAAAAAAACAGGCAGATATTTTTATAAATAATTTCAATTTTTTTTTCCAATAATTTATTCGAAAATCAGCAAAAAAATAAATTCCAAAAATTTCAATTTTTCGTAATGTCAAAAGAATTGATTTATAACGAGATCAAAGGTCCCCTCCTGGTTTGTTTTATTTTCATGCTTCTTTATAATATTTTGCTTACATTTTGTTTTATTGATTTAAGAAAACAAGAAAAGCTCACAGGACTATTAGTAAACCAAAAAAAAAAATATAAAAAATAATTTTCAAAAAACAAAAGAAAAAAAAAATCGAAAACAAAAATAACTTCAGGACCTAATCGAAGAGGCAAAATAATAAAAGAAAAGCGAAACAAGAAGAAGAAAAGACGAGAGAAAAAAAAAAATACGAAAGTTGAAGAAAAACAATTTTATTTTTTTCATTTCACTTTTGTTTTTATATTCGTTTTTCATGAAAATTTATTGACCCTGAAAAACTTGTTCAACAGTATTCACAAAAAAAAAAAACCAAGAAATTATCCTTGAATAAGAACACAAGAATTTTCATTTGTTTCTTCAATTTTTGGTTTTTTTTTATTTTGTGCTTATGTTGAGCTCATGTTTTTCACTACTTTGTTAAACACATGCACATATTTATTAAGAGTTATTTGTTAATATTTTTGTAATAACGTGTATGTCAAACATCTACAAAAAATAAATATATTCATCAGCTAGAAGCCACATAAAACCTACTAAAGTTGTCTTCATTATTCTGAATACGTAAGTAATATCAAAAGAAATTTATAGGTACAGGTAAGTAATATAACACAAAATTAAAAATATTTTCTAAAATAATTCTATTTTGTATATTCTTGCCTAGATTTTATTGTATACTAAATTAGACTGCAAAAATCAGAAAGTTGTAAGAATTTCTAGAATAAATTTAATTTTCATTTCGAAAATTTGCGCTCTAAAAGCTTAAATTGATCAGAGAGAATTATGGATTCCTAATTGTATGCCGAAATATTCTATGTGAGTAATAAATAAAGCAGATCTTAATAGTCTTGGAAAATTGTTAAGTTATACACAGTGTTGACAAATTGGGCTATCCGGATCTCTCTGATGACAAATACACATCTGCATTATCCATAACATGCATTGCATTCCATAGAAAGTAAATTTAAGCCTTGGACCCTTACTGGGCAATTCGATTTTCCTGAAATGATTTTCATGTTTGCAGAAGTGGTAAAGTAGTAAATACGATACAAATTGATTGATACTACTTTAACATTTTTCCGAGTACGAATATCGTTTCACGAATTACATAATAAGACCCCTTATTAATTTAGCATTAACTATAAACTAACTACAGATATCAATAACAGAAAAACTATTTGACATAATGACAACAAGTTTGACAAAAAAAAAAAAAACTAAAATCCGATTCTTAAAATGTGCTAAAAGCCGAGAAAATAAAATTAATAATATTATGCAATTAGAAAGGCAAGCAATAAATATAATAAAATAAAATGTTATCTAAGTCTCTCTCATATGATTTTCTCACATACTCTCTCTCTCTTTCATGTAAATTAATATAGTACAGTTATTGAAAAAAAATATAACGAGAAAAATTTGGAAATCTAGAGTATTATAAGAGAATATAATTATATACGATGTATATATGTATTGTAATATTGATGGCTCCTGAGCAGGGGTATAAAATGGGTTTTCAGAAAAATAATATTAAGGATTTTATGTTTTAATAGAGAGAAAATACAAAAAATAATTTCCATTTTTACATTTTCTTTTTCTATTAACTTTTTTTTTTTTTCATAAAGTTATACTTTAAGTAAACAATATATAGATAACCTTGAAAAGTTTATTCTAGAATATCCCTCATCTAATTCTTATTATATAATTTTTACAATATATACTTGCGCTATTTATATGTTTCTTAAACAACTTAAAAACAACGTATCATCACTGTTATATGTATACACAACAATTCCCGTATAACAATAAAAATATTATTATAGTAATTTAGAATAATAATTTTTCTAATTTGGTATAAATTGATATACATAGGGAATTCTAAAAGGGGGGACACAATGTATAGAATGTAGATTTTTTGTTTCTTTTTAAACACGTACTAAAAAAAAAAATGAACGTGTACATGTATTTTGATATACTTGATAATAAAGGTCAAAGTAATTTTATTTTATTAGGTACCTATACATAGGTGTATGTGATGTTTAAAGTTCTTAAAAAAAAAATGACCTTGGCCTTTTTTTATAAACAAAGTTCTAGAATACAAAATGTGTATAACAAAATTCTATAACTCGCTATGGTGTTAGATATTATATATTTTGACAGTGTTGTAACAAAAAAAATAAAAGAAAAGCATGTGACTATTTTTAAAATTGTTTTTCACCAACACTAAAACTTAAATATATTAAGTAAAATACCCCAAGTATTAATGTAACTGAATCAAATGGACCTTAAAGTTTTGTTATAAATTAAATTAAATTCATTAGAATAAGTTGATGGCTACTACTAGGGCTACGTTCTTGTGATTATTTCGTATGTACAAAGGTCATCTTAACAAATGCAATAGCACAAATTTATCTACTGGTATAGTTTTTAGAGCAACAATACAGAACCTGGTTCAATTAAAACAATTATTTTTAAGACAGCGCAATTAATGAACTCTATCCAGAAATATTTAATTATATCAGTCGGATTCATGTTAATTAATGTTTTAATTGAGTTGGCATTGAAATTTGTTTGAGTTTATTAACTGTTATACATTAAGTATAACAGTTATTAACTGTTATACTTAATGTATAACAGTTGATCAATTCTAAATGCCTTATTTCAATATTCTATGCCGTATTTCGAAATTTGGAAATTAAATTAATTTGATATTAGAATTGCCAATATTTTATAATAAATTGTAATTTGAATTTCAGAATTTAATCAAAGCGATTATATAACAGACTAACTCAACGTAGTTATCAAACATTTTCACTTTGACACACTTTATAATATACATAATATAGCTAATGTTCTAATACAATAAGTCTATGTTTTCTATGTTTACTAACATTTTAATATTCTTCTAAAATTTTTGTTATCCTTATATCTCCTTACTTAAGATTTTTTATGGTTTCATAATAAACGCCTTCTCTCTTTCTCTCTCATATCTATAATACACAATTAATTATATAATATTTTTCTTTTAGCTTTTCATTTAATCTCTAAGGATATTAATAAAAAAAAAAAGACCAAGAAAAACACAACATTTTATTTAAATAATTCTGCTACATCGCTTTATATACCCTCGTATAATGTGTGTGAATGTGTTTATGTAAACATATAAAATATAATTAACATAAATAAACTAAAATATTTAAATGAATATTTATGTTTTTTGATAAACTTTAATCTTTAAAGATTTTTAAATTTCTAGCTATATCCTAATTTCTTTTTAATTAAAAAAAAAAATTCATGGCAGTTTTTTTTTGTGGTGGAACAAAAATATTTGAACAAACCAAAATTTTTTAAAGAAATCTTTAATTAAATTATAAGAAATTACTGTGCTCCGTATAAAAGTAAATATTTAAATAAAAAATTTAATAAAGTTAATCAAATTAAAGAAAGCGGAAGTTTCTCTCTGTTTTCATCTTTCTTTAAAAAGCACGACAAGGAGTTGAACTTAAAAGTTAAACAAAATAATTTTATAAAATTTTGCAAACTGAAAAATTTTGTAATTTAAATTTTATTTTTATGCTTTAAATAAATTGAAATGGAAATATTGAAAATCAAATTAAATAAAATTTTGAAATTAGAATTTCTAATTATGTCGCAGCGCTGTAAGTAAAATAGCAAATGTTTGTTATACAAGATTTTGGATATTTTTGTTTAAAATGAATGAGGATTTGGATTTTGAACAGATTATAGACGATAATTTCATATAGATATTATGTGAACAGTATTTTAACCCTGGATTACCAACCATGCGTAAAATTTGCTCGCTTCGACCTTTAAAAGCGAATATCTCGTTCAATTTCATTATCTGTTTATAAGTGAATTCCATAATATAGCTCTATTTTTGCACAGAATTTGAATTTTTAAAAGTTTGTGAGTAATTTTTACTCATGGTAAGCATTATAAGAAAATTTTTTAATTTTTTTGAGAGTAAAATTTACTCACTCTTGGTATTAATGCATTAAATTCGTTTGTAGCGCAAAAAAAAATTTACTAATAGTGAGTAATAACGTAAAAATATAAACAAAAATTTGGATACGGGGGATAAGAGACGTGATATTGGGCTATAATTTTGCCAGATTGATTTGATTTAAGATTACTATGCTTTAATAATTAAACACTTTTTTGGTAATATTATGATGTGTGGGTAAAATTTACTCACGGTTAGCAAAATAGATTCGTATTAAAATGCGTTGGCTTAAAGAGTTTAAACATAAAATTTTACAATAATTAGAATATAAAAATCCTCCTAAACTTTATTTTGGTGTTATTTATATGGATTAAG